ATAGAATAGAATAGAATAGAATAGAATAGAATAGAATAGAATAGAATTCTTTATTGGCCACGTGTGATTGGACACACAAGGAATTTGTCTTGGTATAAATACTCTCAGTATACATAAAAGAAAAGATAAAAATCAATGAGGGAAGCCAGATTCTAAGCCATAACAATGTTATGGATTTAACAACTACAGTGCTTCACTTAACAACTTTGGCAAGACAGGTCGTAAAATGGGGCAAAACTCACTTAATAATTGACTCATTTAGCAATGGAAATGTTGGGCTCAGTTATGGTTGTAAGTTAAGGACTACCTGTACTGCCACCTCTAAATAGAATAATCCTTCCCGAGTGTAGCTGAACTTCGATCTCTCAGCGATGGCCAAAGTTCACTGCAACGGCCTCCTCTTGAAAGGTGAGATTAGTTCCATTATTATTAGACTTCTGGAAACTGATTAAGTCTGAATTATTCCAGGGGACTTTGGAATGAGTAATGACGCTGTCAAAATTATGCTAGGTGGTTTCGATTTAATTAGATTTTAATTTACCATGTACATTTAATTGCTGCGCTGTATGATTGCTGCTAATTGCCAAGAGCCGTAAGATGGTGTAGCACAGCAATTCAATTCATTCAATTTTTATTCGCCGCCCATCGGGCTTCAAAGAGACTCTGGGTGGCTTACAGCATAAAAGCCATTAAAATCATCAGAGGTTCTTAACACGCAAAATAAATAAATGCACTTTCGCCCCGTACCTCTGGATTGAGAAGGTGAGTGTGAACCACGGCTCGCTTGATGTCATACAAGTCGGTGAAGTGTTCCAGCGCCCTTTGGAGGAGACCGGCTTTCTCGCAGAGTTGAGCGATGTGAGCTCGGTCGTAGTGGGTGAACATCTGATTCCCCAAGATGGCGTCGGCAACCTGAAAGAGGAAATTCTGCTTGAGACAGAGATTTTTTTTTTAAAAAAAATTAAGTGTATAAAATATAAAACAGTAAAACAAACACAAAGTGAAATGTAACAGAAACGTATCATCAACTGGCCATTTGCATTCTTTTAAGAGTTGTCAAGGCCATTTGGAGGTTTGTCCTTGAAGTCAGTAGTGCAAATGGTTGTGGAGCTGCTGAAAGGACTGTATTGTGGACTGGAGATGGATAATGTTGTATCCCTCCCCCTCGGTTGAGAGAGGGCTGTTCGATTTTGACATGTGTCCCCAAGGACACAGACGAACCTCCAAGTGGCCTCAATGACTCTCTAAAAGGATGCAAATGACAAGCTGTCTGCGAGGAATATTCCCCAAACTCAATCAGAGCTGAAGAAGCTTCTTGGATGAGAAGCGATACGTCTTCAAGGAAAAACAAGAAAGTCCACTTTCCTATTGAGAAAAGTACCTTTGGGACGACCATGACCTGGATGACTGAGAATCTCCGTAGACAACAAAAAAGCAAAAAAAAAAATAGTGTACGAAAAAGGAGGAAAAAGTAGTCAATTAAAGTTAACCTTGAGATACAGATCTGTGGAAAATAAGCTCTGCTAGAAATTAAAGCTTGGATTCCTCTGGTGTGTTCAGGGGCCGACTGTCAAGCACAATCAAGAAAGTGAGTCTTTGGTGAGGATTTTAATGCTAATTTTGGGGTGAAAACCGACCATCGAGAATTGCAAGAAAACAAATTTCCCAGGGTCATTTACGGTTAATACATTAATAATTAAATAATTTTTGAATAATGAATAAAACTGAATAATTCAAACTGCTTCTCACCAAAATGCTTTCACCTCTCACTTGGGCTGAGTTGCCCTTTAAGACACAAGCTGCTCTTGGTTATTATGATCAGATTTTTTTTTTTGATCTCTCCTTGATGATTTTTATAAATAACTCAAGATGGCGAGAATATACCTAACACTCCTCCTTCCTCCTATTTGGATGGAAAATAATCCAAGGAGGGAACCAACCTAGAAATAAGTAGAAATCTCCCGACAGTTAGAATAATTAAACAGTAGAACGACTTGCCTCCAGCGATTGTGACAGCTCCAACACTGCAGGTTTTTAAGAAGAGGTTGGGGCAGCCATTTGTCGGGGATGGTACAGAGCAGGGGTGTCAAACTTAAGGCCCATGGGCAGGATCTGGTCCATGGGGTGCTTAAATCTGGCCCGCGGGGCTGGCCTCGAAATAGCAAAGAACAAGCGCATGGTGTCTCTGGCAGCCAAAATGGGGCCCAGGGGTCCCCACACTGCCCGTTTTGGGTGCCAGAGTGCTGCAAGAAGCTGTCCAGGCCAAAAACAAGGTGCGGGGAAGCCGTTTTGGTCAGCAGGGTGCTGAAGGAGGTGTCCATCAGGGGTGGGATTCAAATTTTTTAACAACCGGTTCTGTGGGTTTGGCTAGGTGGGCGCGGCCATGTGACTGGTGGGCGTGGCTTCTTCTTTTTTGTAGCACCCCTCTCCGTTTTGGGGGGCATCCTGAGTCTCAAGTAAGCCTTGGGGAGGGGCGGGGGGGGGTTGGTCCCAGAAGGCTTTCCTGGGGCTCAGGAAGGAAAAAAAAAACCCAGAGTCCCAATGCTCCATTTTGGGGCCTTCTGGACCTCAGGGAAGCCTGCTGGGCAAAGCAATAACCCAGCGAGGAGAATCCCGGGACAGCTGATTGTCGGGAGGGGAAAAAAGAGAAATACCTTAAGGAGTGACCGGGAAGGGAAGAATGCAGTCAACGACGTTGCACATGCCAGGTAAGGACTGACGGGGAGGGGAGGGACGGGGCTAGCCGGGGGCACGATTTGCCAGTTCTCCGAACTGCATAGAATCGTAACAACCGGTTCTTTAGAACCGGTCCGAACCGGTAGAATCCCACCCCTGGTGTCCATCCCCATCTCCTGAAGAGAAGCGAAATGCTGATCCGGCCTTCGAAGAAATCCAGTTTGACACTCCTGGTCTAGAGTCTCCTGCTTGATCATAGAGTCAGGCTAAAAGACCTCCAAGGTCCCTTCCAACTCTATCATTCTGTTATTTTCCTCACAGCAACAACCCTGACAGGAGGGTTAAGCTGAGAGTGAGCGATAGGCCCAAAATCATCAGGTGGCCTTTATGCCTAAGGCAGACTAGAACTCAATATCTCCTGGTTTCCAGGCCAGCAACTTAACCACTAGACCAGACTTGGTCTTATTATGCTTGTTGTTGTTTTCTTGAAAACAATTTTATTAGTTTTTAAAAACAAACAAACAAACAAAACATAAAAACATCCAGCTTTCTTTCATAAATATACAAACAGTGTGTCGGTCGGTTTACCAGTTTTTGTGCATTCATTTCGTAGTCTCAATTACAGTTACATTACATAATAACTCATATTATCAATCAAAAATTATATACCCTAGTATCACTATCAAACAATCATTTGACTATGATTTTATTCATTCATGCTTTACGAGATAACTATAATTTACTTATTTTATAACAAATCATATAATCATACCAAACCTATCCTGAAGACATTTTATAAATGTGATATTAAAGAAAAAAGAAAAAAAAATCTCTTTATATATTCATTATTATCTAAAATTCTAAATATTCTATTATTATATTTTATCATCCAACCATTGATAGAAAAGGTCCCAAATTTTATAAAATTGTTTATCCTCTTGTTCTCTAATTTCAAATGTCAATCTACTCATTTCAGCACATTCCAATATTTTCTTAATAATTTCTTCCTGCAATGGTATTTTCTCATTTTTCCAGTTTTTAGCAAATACAATCCTAGCCACTGTTAATACATTTACAATCAGGTATTTCAAATCTTTGTTATATGTATCAGGTAAGATTCCCAATAAAAAGATCTCTGGTTTCAAATCTATGTGTTTCTTTGTCATTTTTTCCAACCACATGCGAATTTTAGTCCATATTTTCTAGCATCCTCGCAAGTCCACCACAGCCTCCAGAAATAAGCCCACTGGTTATAAGAAAACTACACTTCAGTATCCATCGCCAGCTTCTTTTTAAACCAAACCAGGGGTTTGCTGACCTGCTCATTCATGGCTTTGGAAAAACGTTGCCCCAAAATGCTTCCAGTTTAGGGAAACTGTTTTTTTTCCCCTCCATAACCTATCAAAATGGCAATCACAAGGAGTTTTTTTTTTAATAATTGTAATAATTTTTAGACTGCAACTCACTTTGATAAGCTTTTAATTTTAAAAAAGAATGAACCTTAAGTTCAGAACAAACTTTTGGAAAACTAATCATTATAAAAGTACCAGTACCTGGTTTTATCAGTTTAACTTCCATATAAAATTGGAAGCTTCTGCCTGCAGACAAAAGATGAGCATTAAGAGGTCTATGGTTCTTTTGGTTTTTTAAAAAGGCTAGAATGAGCTGAACTGAAATGCCTGTTTTTAGGGTTTCTTTATAGGAATCCTTTATATTACTTCAAATATAATATAAAGGAACCCTTTATATTTCAAATCCATGTGAAAGGAAAGTCCAAGAAATCACCATCGTCTTTTAACGACCCCATAATCCCTTGCGGGGTGGAATCTGGGCAACTGAATGGAGCTAGCAGAGTGTTTTAATGGCTGGAGGCCCTTCCTGTCGCGAACGTAGAGTTTTGTTCAGCAGATAGATTCCCAGTGTGAGAAATACCTGCCTCTACTTAGGATCGAGTCCTGATCATGAGGAGAGAGCTCCACCTCTAGGCCACTGCCCCACTCAGGAAAGTCCAAGAAATAGGGTAACTAAATCCTTTCGAGAACCAGGTACAAAACCCACCTGAGGTGCATGCATGAGATTCATTTCAAGCAAACGAGTTTGCAAAGGCCCTTCAGATGGACGGTTGTTTTTCAGGGCATCCAAGAGGAAAGCTGTACACTGCTGGATCAAGTTGTATTCCATAAACACATCTACTATCTGCAAAATAAAATAAACGAGAGCAGTTGTTTTAGATTCTTCCCACCCAAGGCAGATAAAGCCTTGTATAAGCATCCCAGCAATATAAGGTTATCTAATTCAGCCAAATCATCCACGCTTAAGGCACCAAAGGAATGCCATATTCCCCCTCTCTTTAGCGGTGAACAAAGCATTTCATTTTTAAACAGTTTTGATCTCATTTGTAGCTTTTCAACTTTCAAACCCCTCCGCTTGCATTTGAAGCATGTATTTTGAGCACAAAATGAGGGCTTTTCAAACATGGGACATTCCTAGTAAAGAGCTTAAAATGAAAAACAGAGCCGTATGAAAGGCTAAAGGCTTCAATTCTAAAATGTTTCATATACAATGACGTGCAAGTGTTTTTCACAAAACCTGTTTTCCCTTTAGTGTCAAATCTTGACACTGTACAATAGTATTTCTCAACTTCAAGTTGTGTGGACTACAACTCCCAGAATTCCCCAGCCAGCATGCAACAACTTAAAAGTTGCCAAGCTTAAGCAAAACTGCTGTAGAATCCTACAGAATTCAAAGATTACCTTGAGGATCTCCTCAAATCAGAGAAATGTTCTTGAGAACATCTGTATGGTTCTCCAGAGGCCACGTGAAAGATTTCACAAGTAGGACCTGGGTCCACCAAAAAATGACTGCTGAGACTTCACCTTCCACATGAGATCAGGAGAACATGAGATCTGTGCAGCTCTCACCTTCTTGGTCTTTCACTGAGCACCCAAACATCCTCAAGACTGCTAAATATAAGACGTTCCAGAGTTCGCATCACCTACCATTTTGCTCATGAACAAACGGCCAGATGCTAAATTTTACACTCCATCGAAGTCTTATATAGTCATTCTATTTATGGTCAAGCTGAGTTTATAGTCCATTCCTACTTATGGCTCAAAATGGTTAAGAACCATCACATCCCCACACGCTGAATGCTCTGCAGCATGGTTATTATCATGCTTGCTTAATGTCACCTTTACTGTGTTATTAGTAATCTTCACAACAGGGCACACGCGTCGAGTTTTGAGATTGCAATGCTCCCAAATTTCCTGCGAGTGTTGCTCAACGCTATGCCAAGAACAAAAGGGGTCAATGACTGGGAATGATAAGAAATATCCATGTGAAAACAGGATTATGGGAGAAAACAGAAATGTTTCTGCAGATGCAACAGTGTGAAGACTTTATAGGAAACCAAGGATTATCATTATGAAGCCATTTATTGCAGCCTGCTGAAGCAAACGGACAGAGACCCAAATATCCTTTTCTCTCTCTCTCTTTCAAGGTGTTTCCTTACTTGGGTAATATCTGCCAGAGGTTCTTCATCCTGCACCAACATCTGGGCAAACTGCTGTCCTTGGTCCGGGCTGATCCGCATTACGTTTCTCAGGAGGAAGATCCAGTCTGGAGTGTAACCAACCTAAGAAGGGCGTGTGCATGCCCAGGAGGAAATATCTGGTTAGCTTTGCTGCACTTTGTATGCTGGAGTAAAGAGGGTCCTGAAATGGTCTGCGTTTGGCTCGTTCTCTTTCTAGGCTGGAAACTGAGAAAGCTCAACCCGGTTCATCTCTTGGCAGAGGTCACAGACCCCTGCATGCGCCAACAAAGGAGAATATTTATAGCTTAGGGCTGAAATGAAGGGTCCTTTGGTGCTGTCTTGAGCTTGCTTGTTTTCTTGCAAACTTTTCGTTACCCAAGCTAGTAACTAGTCAACATCTGCAAGAAAACAACCAAGCTCAGAGAGCGCCAACCGCCCTACTCCCCAAGATGTCTTGCTCGGAACCAGCCTTATGAGATTTTATTTTTTTATGTGCTGTTCCTGCCACTTGTGGTTTTCATCCTTAAAAGGACTTAGAAGCATGGCCTCCTGTTGTGGTTCTTTGTAAGATAGACGTTGTTAAGTCAATTCCAACAGAGATGTGGCCTAGGGATTTTGGACACAGAATCAGAACAGGCCACTGGACGCATTGGATTATTTCACACAGGGATTAAGATAGCAATAGCACTTAGACTTATATGCCGCTTCACAGTGCTTTTACAGTCCTCTCTAAGCGGTTTACAGAGTCAGCATCTTGCCCCCAACAATCTGGGTCCTTCCTTTTACCGACCTCGGGAGGATGGAAGGCTGAGTCAACCTTCATCCAGTCAGGATCGATCTCCTGACAGTGGATAGAGTTAGCCTGCAATAGCAATAGCACTCAGACTTATGTACCATTTCATAGTGCTTTACAAGCCACTCTAAGCAGTTTATAGAATCAGTATATTGCCCTTAACAATCTGGGTCCTCATTTTACCGACCTCAGAAGGATGGAGGGCTGAGTCAACCTTCAGCTGGTGAGAACTGAACTGCCAAACTGCTGACAATTGGCAGTCAGCAGAAGTAGCCTGCAATACTGCATTCTAACCACTGCGCCATCATGGCTCTTAAGATTAAAGACTTCTGACCAGGATCTATCACAAGACGTGGTAGTGGCTACAAGTTTGGCCTGGCTTCCAAAAAAAAAAAAAAAAGGTTTCAGGGAAACCAATTACCTTCTTGGCATACAGCACGATCTTCTGAACTTGTCCCGTTTCCGCAAAACACTGAATGACCTTATTGGGAACGTTAGCACGTAGGTAGACACTCAGGGCCAACGTTGGGTCCACAGACTTCACCAGGTCTCCCAGTTCTTCAGAGCATTCCAACTGTTTAAAAGAAAGCATTTCGGAGGGTTTTTTTTTAAATACCCCAAAGGATGCTGCATATCTAAAACAAACTGCAGTAGAAACTCTTTCCTACGTGTGTCAATGTGACAAGCAGTTGAGGAAACCATGCATCCCAAAGAAGCCTTCAAAATATAATATTCATTTTGCTACAGTATGTGATTTACCCCCCTCTGTATTATGGGACCTATTGCATTGGGAGGGGTTGTGCAACCTTGGCAACTTTCAGACTTGTGGACTTCAACTCCCAGAATTCCTGAGCTAATATGATTAGAGGAGGAATTCTGGGAGTTGAAGTCCACAAGTCTTAAAGTTGCCAAGGTTGGACACCCCTGCCTTAAGGGTTATGTCAGCATGGCGCTAAACAATGAGTGGCACTTCTGATCAATATCTATAGTAGAAACAAAATGAAACACAGGGCAGGGCACAGTGCAACTAGTCCTCATCACACAAGCGAACCAAGAAGGAAGCCACAGATCTATTTTGCCAGGAAAGATGACGCTGGAAGAAGAAAGTGAAATCTCTTCCAGAAGAGCTGTCCTTGACAAGTCACTAAAAGGTCAAGTGATAAACCCTCAATCAAGAATGAAGGCAGATTGTGATTTAAGCTGGTGGCTGCTTAAGCTCATTCACCGTAGAACTAAAATAGCTAAGGACATTTGTCATGAAAAGAAGTCTTGTGGTCAGGAACTCAGCGTTTGCTCTCAAGTTTTTTTCCCATCCCAGTCTTCAAGAAGAGAGAGGGAGAAGTGTGAAACTGAGCTGAATCCAGAAATCAAGTTCAAAAAGTAAAGGTTAAACTGCGGACAATATTTTAAGACTGTGTGCTTGCATTCGTTGTCAGAAACCCCAAGGCACTTCTGGGTTGAAAGGATTAGCTGGAGACATCACTGTTACCTGGGAGATGCCTCGTTGGGGGCATATCCCTTTCATATCCCTGGCAATTGCTGGAGCAAAGGACGGGAGCTCAACCCTGCCCCAGGAGGATGGGAGCTTAACCCTGCTCCAAGTAGATGGGAGCTCAACCTTAACCCAGGAAGATGGGAGCTCAACCCTGCCCCAGAAGGACAGGAGCTCAACAGCACTTCGGTCTCGAACATGAGCTTGCTAACCTCCATCCCAGCGTCCAAACCACACAGCCCCCTGTGCTCATTTTAATACATTTTCTTGAGAGGTAACTACATTTAGAAGTCCAACTATGGAGTTCAATAACCTTTGACTCCAAGGAGTTATTAATAAGGGCCAACATAAAGCAAAAGGATTAAAATAAATCCTGTAACAGAAAAAAAAAATCTCTGAAAAAAATACTTTTAGGACACAATTAGGCCAAAGCACTCATTAAATAAGGACTAGCATGGTCTCAATACAATTTCTGAATGAGGGGTATAATTCCAAGGCTGTGGTTATGGATGACAAAAGAAGAACCTTGTTGTCTCAATTAAGAAAAGACCGAGTTTTTAAAGATTCCTGCCCCATCATCCACACCCCAGTATTTGGAAAAAAAATGTGTAGCAAAAGTTTGGAAATTTCAAGTCTTGGTCCAAGTTCAGAATCACAAAGACTTGACAAATTGTAATCAGTGGGGTCAGAAACTGGCGTAGAGTCATAATGAATTTAGCTTTTCAAACTGTCACAAGGTTTTGGACAAAGGAGAATTCCTCTGAGATTTTCACCACTGGGAGGTTGCGGTGGGGGGGAGATTATTTTTGTTTTGGCATTAGACATAAGTCATAATACGCTTGCAGGCAAGCATCATCCATCAACTGGAAACAACTGACAGTTGAGGGAAAGGTCACTCATTTAAGGGCAACGTTATATAATTCAGCTAAAGAGCTGAAAGGCAATTTCCTATCCCTTCCTTTGCCAGGAAATTCTAGCCAGGAGCCAAAGTCTTCCATGCCTAATACGTTGCCGTCGGGAAGCTGCCATCTGAGAGTTGGCAAATTTTCACTGGTTCTCTAGGCTGCATTAACAGGGGGGATAGAATCAAGATCACACAAAGCATTAGTAACATTTTGTAATGCCTTGGTAAGACCACACGTGGGACATTGCACCCAGTTTTGGTTGCCATGAAGATGTTGGGACTCTGGAAAGAGTGAAGAGAAGAGCAACGAAGATGATTAGGGGACTGGAGGCTAAAACATACGATGAATGGTTGCAGGAACTGGGTATGTCTAGTTTTGATGAAAAGAAGGACTAGGGGGTGACATGATAGCAGCCTTCCAATACCTCAGGGGCTGCCACAAAGAAGAGGGAGTCAAGCTATTCTCCAAAGCACCTGAAGGCAGGGCAAGAAGTAACGGAGGGAAACCAATCAAGGAGACAAGCAACCTACAACTATGGAGGAACTTCCTGACAAGGAGCGCAATTGATCAGTGGAACGGCTTGCCTACAGAATTTGTGGAGGTTTTTAAGAAGAGATTGCAGAGTCATTTGTCTGAAATGGTATACAGTTTCCTGTTTGAGCAGGGAGTTGGACTAGAAGACCTCCAAGGTCCCTTCCAACTCTGTTATTCTCTGCCACGGCACCAATCCGAAGAGCAAAATTACCCAGCAGAAGCTACCAAACCCTAACTCATAACCATTTCCACTTTCTTGGGAGACAGAGAGATGCTCTCTTCACAGTTGGAAAGAGACTGAACCCAGCAGAAAGGATGACATTTCAGCTGTCAGTGACCGTCAAGTCAACCCCATCTTCAAAGATGCCCTGTCAAATAAATGACTTACTTTGTCTTCTTTCAACCATTTCTCCAGAAGCTGCTTGCGTCCTTGCTGGAGGACTGGCCGGCAGAGTTCCAGGGACTCGTATTTATTCAACTGCCCTTGGTCGAGCAAAATTCCAAAATACTGAAGCAGAGGGGACGTCTGCCCTGGTTGTGCTTGGACACTCTGGAACCGGCGGATGGTGTCTGGAGTGCGCAATATTCCCTTAAAAAAAAAAAAAGGTGGATAAAATACATCATCTACCCATTGCAAATCAGTCAAGATGGACCAACAAATTCGTAAGTTATTAAAAGAAAAACTATTTGCAGAAACTTTAGATCACTGTTCCTCAGATTGGAGATTTGGACTTCAACTCCTGGAATTCCCCTTAGCATGCTGGCTAGTGAATTTTGGGAGCTGAAGTTCTTATGTCTTAATAACAATAGCACTTAGACTTATACACCACTTCATAGTGCACTGAGTGGTTTACAAAGTCAGCATATTGCCCCACAACCGGTCCTCATTTCACCGACCTTGGAAGGATGGAAGGCTGAATTAACCTCGAGCCGGTCAGGATCGAACTCCTGACAGTGAGCAGTCAGTCTGCAATAGTGCATTCTAACCACTGAGCCACAACGGCTGAAAAGTCCTCAGTCAAATTATTATCCAGCCTTGCACTGATGACCTAGAATATGCTACAGCTGGCTAGGGAGGCAGCAGGGAATGGTAAATGCCTCCCTGTCTAGTTTCAGAATGAACTTTTATTTATTTGACATGTTTGCCACCTTTTTTCTCTCAAGTCCTCCAGCCAGCGACTGGACAATACTTTGCAACACTGCATAAAGTGCATTAAAAAAGACCAATGGCAATTTTAATTGTGTATTCCACCCGGAGTTACCCTGAGCTATGATGGGCAGCCAATAAATGTTATAAATAAATTCCAAGCCACAAGCATAAGACTTAGTTGGGGCAATTGCAACCAATGGCAAGAAATCAGCTGGTCAGGTCACGTATCCATTTTTGCAAGCGACAGCCTCATAACGAATGTCCATGGAGATTCTCAGTCATCCAGGTCATGGTTGTTGCAAAGGTGCTTTTTTCAAGAGGCAACTGGGTTTTCTTGTTTTTTCCTTCACTTTTCATCCAAGAAGCTTCTTCAGCTCTGACTGGATGATGGGGAATGGAAGGACTTATATTCCTTGTAGACAGCTGGTCATTTGAATTCATTTTGAGGGCCGTTAAGGCAGCTTGGAGGTTCAACTGTGTCCTGAGTAGGGGTATGCTACCATTTGCACTACTCAGACAATCCTGAGGACACAGGTAAGCATCCAAGCGACCTCAACTACTCTCTAAAAGAATACAAACGACCAGCTGTCTACAAGGAGTATAAACCCTTCCATTCCCCACCAATCCAGTCGGAGCTGAAGAAGCGTCTTGGATGAGAAGCGAAACGTCTTCAAAGAAAAACCAGAAAGTCCAGTTGCCTCTTGAAAAAAAGCTCCTTTGGGACAACCACGACCTGGATGACTGAGAATCTCCATAGACTTTTGCTTAGCAATGGGAAGTTCTGGTCCCAACTGTGGCCATAATTTGAGGACTACTTGTATGCCAAAAAAAAAAAGAAACTAAAAGAAACAGAACTGAGGATTCAAACCTGAGTAGATCAAACAGAAAAGGCAAAGCATGGATCACTTGGATGTTTTCCATACCTTCGGGGCGTTTGCTGCTACTTTGGCTGCTTCTGAGTAGCTCCCTTGGGCGAAAAGGGCATTGAATTTTCGGGCAAAGAGCTCTTCAGCCCCGGCGAGATTGTTACGGACGGCCATTCGCAGGGCCAGGTCGGGATTCTGCAGCACATTGGTGATGTACGGGATAATGTTCTCTTCTTCCACACACACTGAAAGCACCTTGAATGCAGGGAGAGGGATAGAAGGCGGTTCATCATTAGGATCTTTTGCATTCTTGTTTTAATAATCCTTTTATTAAGTTTATCAGGATATAAAATACCAAAGAAAGTGAAAATAGTAGGGGAAACGGGGGAGGAGAAAGAACTGGAGGATAAATGGCTAAAAAGAAAAGGGAAAGATTGATTTTTGACTCTTTTTAGTGCCTCATAGTAACACTGTCACCTCAACTTTTTTACTTCTTACTCTCTGAGCTTGGTTGCTTTGTTTTGTTTTTGCAAACTATCACTTTATAGTCATCATCAATTAGCAATAGCACTTAGACTTATATACTGCTTCATAGTGCTTTACAGCAAATAGCCCCCAACAATCTGGATCCTCATTTTACCGACCTCAGAAGGATAAAAAGCTGAGTCAAGCTTGAGCCCCATCAGGATCGAACTCCTGGCAGTGGGCAGAGTCAGCCTGCAATGCTGCGTTCTAACCACTGCGCCACCACAGCTCATGCTAAAAATGTACTGGCCATGTTTATAACAACAAACCTATCTAACCTGCACTCTTGATGTTGGGTTTCGCCGATTAATATTGCTTACAGTTATAGAAATGGCCAGTATTTGGTAAGTAGGTAAAATAAAAAGTTACGCCTGTTATTTTATTTGGTACTTTTACTGTGCTAAAAAAAGTTGGAAGTTGATGCTTTTTCTTTTCCCCTACACTTCTCTTATTTTCCTATCATCTTTATTTTCATTTATATTTTATACTATGATAATTTTAATATTTTTTTTTCAATAGAAATGTTTTTGGGATTCTATGAGTGCCCCTTCCAGGCTGGTAACCAGATGCCAGATGGATCCTTTTTTTCCCCCTTTTGAAGGAGCTACAGCAGCTTACTAACAGATTAACATGATCAGGGGAATGACGATGGCTCTTGTTGAAGTGTTGCTTCATCTTAATGGAATTCCAGCACTAACAGCATTAATCTTGCTCCCTCCTCTTCTCCTACCAAGAAATGGGCCCCAAAATAATATCATATTCAAGTGACTTATTTAATTTTATCCCTCCTTTGTTATGTATGGGCGCGACGGCTCGGTTGTTAAAGATGCTGAGCTTGGCAGCTGGAAGGCTGACAACGGGGATGAGCTCTCGTTCCTTGCCTCAGCTCCTCTCCGCCTAGCAGTTCAAAGGCATGCAAACGCAAGCAGATAAATACTGTGTTTCCCTGAAAATACAACCTACCCCAAAAGTATGTCCTAGCTTGATTTTTATATGTTCGCCCAATATAAGCCCCCAAAATAAATCCTAATTAAGATCTCACCCGCTCCGGGGTGCACGGGTAAAAATTAAGCTAGGGTGGGGATGGGAGGGGGTGGAGCTGTCCTACTACTTACCTTTGGACAGTTGCAGCCAGGCCTCGCACACTCCGACGCCTGCCTCGCCAGCCCATTTCTTCTGCAGCCAGCCAAGCTTTCCTGAAGCCTATAACAACGCTCAGGATCGATCCGGAGCTCTGTTATCAACTGCAGAGGCCTTCAGGAAAGTCTTGCCGGATGCAGAAGTTCCTGAAGACCTCCGACAGCAGAAAAGAGGCCAGGGACAACGTGTGCAAGTGAGGCGAGTCAGTGAACGACCACCACCCCCAAAAATAAGACCTGGTGCCTTTTGGGGTGGCAAAAATATATAAGACGGGGTCTTATTTGGGGGGAAATATGGGTAGGTACCACTTTGGGGGGGAAGGTGATAGCATTTTGTGCATCTTTGGCGTATAGCCATGCTGGCCATATGACCACAGAAATGTCTTCTACAGGGGACTACGCTGGCTCTTTCAATTAAGAAGCAGAGATGAGCACCAAGGAGGTTCACCCGGAGTGCTCACAGGCTCTGCAAATTTCTATGGCATCTTAAGAATGTGTACTTTCTCCCTTATCACGTGGTTGGTTACCAAAGAGCATATTGCCTTGAAATGCAGTTGAGGATTACCAAGAGGCCTGGCTCTGGCATCAGAGGGTAGGTGAGACTATAAAGAAGTAACAGATTAACAAGGGAAAACTGCACACAGGATTGATTGTCTTGTGTGTTTTTCAGGAAAAACAGGATAAGAGGCAGCTTCTGGATCAAAAGGCTATGAAACTTCAGGATATGCCTTCCTAAACCAAGGCTTGCTTGCTTGCTCTTTCTTTCTTTCTTTTCTTTCTTTCTCTTTCTTTTCTTTCTTTTTCTTTCATTCATTTCTTTCTCTCTCTCTCCTTTCTTTCTTTCTTTCTTTCTTTCTTTCTTTCTTTCTTTCTTTCTTTCTTTCTTTCTTTCTTTCTTTCTTTCTTTCCTCTCTCTCCTCCCTCCCTCCCTCTCTCTCCTTCCTTCCTTTGCAGGAGAAGAAAATCTCAGAACCAGAACAAACCAATTTGGCAGCTCCAATTCCTGGCAGGAAAGCATCCCTCAACAGCAGGACAGAACTGAAAGCAGGTATCGTCTGATCAAGAAAGATCTTTCAAGGTTGATGCTGTTAAATATTGCCAAGAGAGGTTGAGCAGCTTTTCCATAGGCTGTGAACTTTGACCGACTACTACTATACAAATACAAACCTTCTGACTTGTTTTGTGGAACGGGCAGCACTTCAAGGTTTGACGGCGGACTTATTTAGTTCAAACTACTACATGAAATTTTAGTAATCAGTTAAATGTCCAAGGAAAACAGCAACATTTTAAAAATCCATATACAGATAGTCCTTGACTAGCGACCAGTTGTTTAGTGGCCGTTCGAAGTTACAAAGCAGTGGTGACATTCTACCGGTTCGGCCTGGTTCTGCCGAGCTGGTAGCGGTGATGAGCAGCGGTCCTCGACGCTCTGTGTTGAACACGCCCACCTTCCCGGGCTCCCATACTGCTTTCGAAGTGCAGCTGCTTTAGGCGGCACAGCAATTGCTGCGCGGCAGCTGCTGAAGCATAAGGGAGAGTGCAGGATTGCCTCTGTGCCTGCGCAGTGTGCGTTTGGCATATGCATGCATGCAAAATGTGTGCGCGCGTGCAAAGCACGCCCGCCAAGCCACGCCCACCGAACTGGTGGTAAAAAATATTTGAAACACACCACTGTTACAAAGGTACTGAAAAAAGTGGCTTATAAGCGTTTTATGACACTTGGCAATTGGCTCTTATTTATGATGGTTGGCATCCCGGGGTCATGTGATCCCCATTTGCCATCTTCTGACAAGCAAAGTCAATGGGGAAGCTGAATTTCATGTTACTAACTTAACATAGTTAGTTAACACGGCGATTCATTTAAAAAGGTCGCAAAATGGGGCAAAAAAAGGTCGCAAAATGGGGCAAAGTGTCTCTCTTAGGAATGGAAATTTGGGGCTCAACTGTGGTTTTAAGTCGGGGATTACCTGTACAGGTGGAGTCGTGCACCTACCTGGCCTCAATCCATTCACATGCACCACCTCCTAAGCCCCCACCACCACCACCACTGAAACATTGAAGCCTCTTGTTACCTGTCCTTTCCGATTGACGCCAATGATTCCAGCCGTGGCTTCGTGTGGCGCAGTCACAAAGATAGTTTCCCCACTGATTCTGTTCATGTAGATGCAGGTGCCCGTTTCAAGGTCGTACAGATGGATGTAACCGTATTTGGTGATCAGGAAAACAACATCGTGCTTCTCGCTAATCTGCAAATAGGAAAGGGGGGGGGGGAATGGTAGCCATCTCAGGGCAACGTACTGCAGTTGAAAACCCACCAAAGATATAAGCCAAACAAGTTAGCATGGTCTCCTGTATCAAACTTCAATCCTAGTCATGGCGACAGCTAACCTGCATTAAACGTATCTTATTCGCCCATCTCCAGGTTTCAAAAATGTTAGTAGACTTCATCTCAGTCCTATTAAGTTAAAAGGCTTACAAGCAGCCTGTATGATGTAATGCTTAAGGCATCAGCCTGGAATCTGGGAGACTGCGAGTTCTAGTCCTGCCTTAAATGTAAAAGTCGGCTGGTGACTTTGAGCCAATCACCAGGAGACTCTTAAGTTCTAGTCAGAACTATCTTACATAGTTCGAGCTATCTTGAGCCTGCTGGTGCAGTGGTTAAAGTGGAGTATACTGCAGGCTACTTCTGCTGACTGCCAGCTATCTGCAATTTGGCAGTTTGTATCTCACCAGGCTCAAGGTTGACTGGGCCTTCCGAAGTGGGTAAAATGAACACCCAGATTGTTTGGGGGCAAGAGGCTGACCCTGTAAACCGCTTAAAGAGGGCTGTAAAGCACTGGGAAGTGGTACAGTGGAGCCTCGAGTCGCCACTGTAATCCGTTCCAGGATTGCGGTCAAAACCTGATTTGGTCGTGACCGGGAGCACGACCATCTGTGCATGCACGGACCAACACCCCCACCCCCAATGGTGCCATAGGGAAAATTGCCGCACTGATTTTCGGGTTTGCTTGGTCACCACCTGAAGATCTGTCCGCGACCAGAAGCAACACAGAAGCAAAGAGTGATTGTCACCCGATTCGGTCGCGAAGAAAAGCGTCCGCGACCCAAGGTTTCACTGTACGTAAGTCTAAGTGCTATTGCTATCGTACATGAAAGCCAGCTGGATGACTTTGAGCCAATCACCAGGAGACTCTGGGTTCTTGTCCCCGCCTTAGGCAATGAAGCCAGCTAGGTGACCTCAGCTAACCCTTTCTCTCAGGCCCAGGAAGGTGGCAATGTCAAACCACTTCTGGGGGTGGGGGTGGGGGGGAACCTTGCCAAGAAAACTGCAGGGGACGTGCCAAGCACCCTCCAAGTATCAGACACAACCAAACGGAAGGGTGGGGGGAGGGGGAGAATAAGGTAGACCAGACTCTGTACAGACCGAAAGCTACTTTTATTAGAACAGCTACTGCAAAAAGAATCATGCAAGTCCCCCCTCCCTTTTATCTTCAGGTGAATTGGAGGAGAGGGCGCTCTTCTCAGATGCGTTCATAAACCACTTCCTTGGCCCGGGGTTCAAGTTTCATTTATCTCATCCCTGCCTGGTAACAGATCTTCCCTGGGTCCTTCAAGGCCCTCGACACTAGTCACGCGACACTCTCCTCCCACAGCGTTAATGCTTTTTGTGCAGGCAATTTTAAAAGAAGACCAACAGGCTTTTGGGATAATGAACTCTGCTCTTCTAAAACCTGCCAAGGCGTGCAGAGTCCTGGTTCATCAAAAACACAGTGTGTTCATATAGATTGTTTGAACTGTCAAACGGCCAAGTTGAAGAGCTACCCAGACTACGGATCAAGAGGCCCTTTGGTACTTCTGCAGAACACCTGAACTTTGCTCTACAAAAAGCAGCTAACCACATTAAAGGCAAGGCTGGAAGCTGGGCAGCCTTGAGCTCTGCAAATTCTTTGAGGGTCTTGACATGATTCCTTCAAGCCCTTCTGATTTTATCCAGTCAGTCATTTGTATCCTTTATTCATTTTTACAACTCGCTCCGAACAGGGAACGCATCTTCCTCCTTGTTTTCTCCACAAGGACCCTATGACGTGGGTGGAGCTGAGAGTGAGGGACTGGCCCAAAGTCACCCAGCTGGCTTACGTGGCGAAGGCAGGACTTGAACCCAAGAGTTTCATGCTTTCTAGCTTGGTGCCATAATAACCATTAGACTAGGGATGTCCAGCCTTGGCAACTTTAAGACTTGTGTTCTTCAACTTCCAGAATTCCCCAGCCAGTCTTAAAGTTGCCAGAGCTAGACACTCCTCCATTAAACCAAATTGGATTGCATGGCCAGCCCCTTCCAAAGCCTTCAGGAGATACAGGTAAAGGCCTGTTCCTTGATAACGTAACATACCTGCATTGCTACGGGGAAGTCGTTCTGGGCTTCTGGTGGGAAGAAGACATCCACAGCTTTCTTAGGGAATGGCTGGTTTCCGGTGGGAGGTGCCCCAACCTCAATAATATGCAACTGTATGGGAAGAAATCAGGTTGGAGACCATCTTGAGAAAGGATCCATCGATTGCCAACGCTTGGCTTTATCAAACAAGAAGGGAAGGAGGTCCCAGGGCTGAAAACAGACCATGGGCAGTCCTCGATGTAATGACCACAATGGAGTCCAGAATTTACGTTGCTAGGTGAGAAATTCTGGGGAGCGAGTTTTGCCCCATGTGACCACGCTTCTTGCCACAGGGGTTAAGCGAATCACACCCCCGCTGCTAAATTAGTAAAGGGGTTGTTAAATGGATCTCACTTCCCTCTTGATTTTGCTTGTCAGAAAGACGGCAAAAGGGGATCATGTGACCACCACCCCGCCAAGGATACTGCAACCGTCATAAATAGGAGTCGGTTGCCAAGCATCCGAATTTTGATTATGTGACTGTGGGGGTGCTGCAATGGTCACAAGTATGAAAAAAAAAAAAAAGCCGCAAGATCACTTTTTCAGGCACCATTGTAAAGACCACTTTACAATGTTAAGATCACTTTTCCAGCACCATTCGGTCACTAAATGAACTGTTGTAAGTCGAGGATGACCTGTATGTTGTCGCTCTAATCATCAAGTCTCTGGACAGCATACAATAAGCAAATCATGTCCTACGTTCAGATTGTTAATAGAGTGGTGCGATGGTCTAGAGGTGCAGCTCTCGCCTCACAATCAGGAGGCTGTGAGTTCGATCCTAGGTAGAGGCAGATATTTCTCTCTCTGGGCACAATGAGAATATGTATCTGCTGAAGAAAAAAAAAAACCCAAAACCTCCGCGTTGGTGACAGGAAGGGCATCCGGCCAGTAAACACTCAGCTCCATTCAGTTGCCCAGATTCCACCCCGCAAGGGATTATGGGAGTCACTGAATGGAGATGATGATGATGATGTTAAGACCTATATGTCTTAACATCCGGCCTCTGAGGCAAGCTGCCACGGTTTATGCTGCCTGCCGAAACGGAGAGGGGGATTCTTTCTGTTCAAAACTATGTGCCTCAAAGGTGAGATCTGACCGGTAAGTCTTCAACGTACCACCATTCATTTAGTGAACTACATTTAGTGTAGTCTGAAATTGCAACAGCGCTGGAAAAAAGTGGCCTACAGCTGTCACGGCATCCCTACGGTCACTTGGTCAAACTTCAGGGGCTTGGCAACCAGCATCTATTTACAATGACCGCAGCATCCTGCTGTCAGTAACGGCTATTTGTGACTTTCCCAACGGGCTGAACACAAAGCAAAATCAATGGGGGATGCCAAGTTTGCTTAAAACTGAAAGTGAAAAACTGAAAGTGAAAAACTGAAGTGACTCGCTTAACAATCATGGCCAAAAAATAAAAATCAGGTGCAACTCACTTAACAACCGCCTTGCTTAGAAACCAGTGTTCTGGTCCCAGCTGTGGTCATAAGTAGAGGACTTCCTCTGTGTGTGTGTGTGTGTGTGTGTGTGTGTGTGTGTGTAAATAAAAACCCCACGGAAGGCCAAAGTCTCCTCTCCCGCGATGGATGAATGGAGATCGGACCCACAGGAGGCTCACCTTGCCTCCGGCTTGCCCTCGCACCGCGAAGCAGAACAGGGTGGATTCTTCTGTGTTGCCTTCCATCTTGAATTGGGCAAAACTGGCAGCGTGGCCTTCGATCGGCTGTGACACTTTCCTATCCACGGAATAAAGTTGCATGGCTCCGACGACACGGTTTTGCTTTAAGAAGGGAAGGAAAGGGGTCGTGAGAACATTCAACCTACCGCGTTAAGCTAGGGGTACACTTTAAACCAGGGGTCTCCCAATCTGGCTGCTTGAAGGCTTGTGGACTTCAACTCCCAGAACTCCTCAACCAGCATAGCTGAAGAATTCTGGGAGTTGAAGTCCACAAGTCTTAAAGGGGCCAGGTTTCATGCTGGCAGAAGAATTCTGGGAGTTGAAGTCCACAAGCCTTTAAAGCGGCCAGGTTGGGAAACCGCTGCTTTTAAACATTTGGCATTCAGACTGTACATCTGAAGAGCGTTCAAATCTTCTTCAAATGGACAGGAACAGCACTTTCCCCCTCATATATCCTTTTTTTTTAATTTGGAGCGGCTTTCCTTTTCTTAACAGAAGCTCACTCTGGGGGGTTGCTGAAAAGCGACCAGAAACTTCCGAACTGAAGAGAGTCTAATTTGGTTCAGATTCACCCAGATTGGTTTCCTGTGGTGATCCATCTGTCTGGTCACTACTTGATTTCTTGATCTCTTTGGCCGTTTTCTCATCATACACTAAATAAATAGTTACGACCAGTGAGAGCCAAATACATTTTCAGTGGTGGTGGTGGTGTGGGGAACAATGCTTTAGAAGGATGAGGCCTACATTCAATGTGGCAATGACACAAACACAGCTGGGTCACATACATCGTTATTTCTACATCTGATTTACTACATAACCAAACTTCTTTGAGAAAACTACAAATTTATTTTAAAAAATTTAAAGGCTGGGCTCATTTCTCTTACATTGGGAGAAGGGTTTTCTATTTTCTATTTATTTCTTTAATCAAATTTAGATATTCTCTATCTTGCTCCCAGAGTGACTCTGAGTAGTGCACAACTAAAAGCATTTTTTTTAAAAAAAGTTAAAAATTCAATATATCAAAAAAAAGGAGCCAGATAAACAGCACGGGGAGAAGCTTCAAGGCATGCTCAGTGGTGGCATAACGAAGCATTGAAAGTTTTAAAAACTGTCTTAATCTAATTTTAGGGTTTATGCAATGATTTTGATGTGCTTACCATTATAGAACTTGTGACAGGTGCCAAAGATCAGGTCCACGGGTGAAGGGCTAATAATTAAAATGATTTATTGCTAAACAGCCCTATGCACAGGAATCTTTTCAACTAAGGGTTAGCAACCTGCTTGGAATTAGATAAGGGTCCACAACATTCAAGGGAGGTTGGATTTACTCTGCTTGTGGCTACCTAGGGATTCTAGGCTGATGCCTCTTTTAACTCCGCCCCCAGATTCCGCCATTCCTTCCACCACATAGTAGTGGAAGAAGTGAAAATTTCTTTATTCATAAGTCACAAGACATCAGTTGAACTATACTTGGTTGCACTTAGATAACAAATTGCCTAATTTCATTTAATTACATTACTGTAATTATACAAGGAAAATGTCAGCAGTGCAGCCACCAAAGCAACAGGGTGGCTATCCCTCCCCTGATAATTGTGGCCCCGCATTATTAAAATAAAAACCTATTTTCAATCCATTTAAAACAACCCAAATCTCATTACATTACCAGATGTCTCAGGGATGTCGAAACCTTAAAAGCGTTGAGATTTGAGTTCATAAAGAAAATAATTTTGTTCCCTGGAGGGCGTCTTCAAAAACGGAGGAGGGAAACCTGAGTTTTAAGAGTGGGGGTTACATGAAGGTGTTTTTTAAACTAGGAATCACCACATACAATGAAAATCAGAAATGTTTCTCTTTTCATTTGCCCCAAGCAAATTCTGCTTGCAGGATGTGTGTCTCTTTGTGTAACTAACAAAATTTCAGTGTGAAGTTTATAGCAGGGGTCCTTCCTTTACGAGAGATTAGCTGCTGAGGCTTTGCCAACGCTCTGTCGAGAGATCAAGGTTGCACAGGAAGCAGAACTAAAATGGGTCACGGACTGGCCTCGGATGCAAGGATTTCAATTTTGCTAAAACAAACAGCTCTAGAGGGGCATTTTGGGTGTTTTCTCACAGGATGTACGTGAGAAAGTAACCACCTTCTCCCCCACAATTTATAGCAGAGATCCCAGCTTTTATTAAGGCAATGCTCATTCCCAGTAGGCTACAAAAAAAGGGTAAAGGAGTCCCTGCGGGTTTTACTCCGCTAGTTGTTGCTGACTGTACAGGGCGTTGCTCATCTCCATTTCAAGGCCATTGAGCCAGCGCTGTCTGAAGACATTTCCTCAGCCATGTGGCCAGCATGATGTCACGGAGCACTGTTACCTTCCCACTATAGTGGTACCTATTTATCCCCTTGCATTTGCATGCTTTGGAACTATACAATTTGTCTGAAATGGTATAGGATTTCCTGCTTAAGCAGGAAGTTGGGGACTATAAAACTTCCAGGGTCCTTTCCAACTATGTTTATTCTATTCTATTCTATTCTATTCTATTCTATTCTATTCTATTCTA